ATATATATATATATATACATATATATACGCGTCAATTAATCCTCCACTGTCATGACGGCCGACCGACACATACACATTCCTTACGGTGCTCACAACTGCATAAGGTCATATGAGCGCCAAGGGGTGGATGTCAACAGAGAAGTCTTTACAGGGAATCAGGCTTACTCTGCTCACCTCTCTAGCCTCAACAGCACAAGGTCTGCTTCGACCATCAAGGCACCCAAGGAATAGCAGTTCACAAGAGAGTGACAAACATACAAAAGAAGGAGGGGAGATAAAGATGATAGTTGTTTGATAGGAAAGAAGGAGCAAACCACACCAGAACACCCGCCAACCATCCACTAAAGTGCGTAACTGCTACACGACAGACGCTGGTGAAAAATAAACTTTAAAAAAAAAAAAATAAAAAAAAAAATTTTTTTAAACCCCAGAAAACTATATAAGTTTTCCCCACTGTCCATAAACCCGGCACAATTGACTTGCCGTGAGGTTGTCCCAGGGGTTTTATGCAAAAAAAAGTTATAAAATTATCCAAACTTAGCCCCAAAAAGTGTGAAATAATGCGATTCTGTTAATTTTAACAAAGAATGATAAAGGAAAATAATCAGAAATTATAAATGAAAAAAATGACCAAATTTTGCTAAATTAAGCGGGGTGCATAAAGCCCTGGGGACAGCCCTGTGGCGAGGCCACTCGACTCACCAGGTCAAGAAATAGAGTTTACAAGTCTGAATTTGGAAAATGTTTCACTGAGAATTCTCCGGTTATCCCCACTTTGCCCACCACTATAGAGCAGACACAAGTGACTTGCCCTGAGGCGGCGACTCAACTCACCAGGTGAGGACCGCGGTACACAAGATGAGCACCAGCGTGGACAGCAGGAAGAGCCAGAAGTAGCGGTGGTTACGCTCCCCGATACACGCCTCCAGCCAGGGGCAGTGGTGGTCAAACTTGTGCACGCACTTGTTGCAGTCCTCGCAGTGCTTGGCCCTCATTGGTTGCTGCCAGTTTGAGTTTTAGTAAACAGTTTTACGGCACTTGCAACACAATAAGGTCATATGAGCGCCAGAAGATTTGAGGCGTTACAAGAGAGTAACAAGCAGAACACAAAAAAGAAGGAGGAGAGATCGGGACGATTGATGTTTGATAGGAAAGAAGGAGCAAACCACACCAGAGCACCCGCCAACCATCCACTGGTTACTGCGAGACAACACAGAGGGCAAACACTCTAGACCAATATTTGCAGGTACAATAATAGTAATAATAATAATAATAATAATAATACTAATAATAATAGCATTTGCACAGCGCAAATCCCCGCTCAACAGCAAGCTCTATGCGCTTCACAATGTATACTATTACCCCAGCAGACCTGAGAGCATTCTGAAACAACCTCAACTTCCTGGGAAGCATACAGTGCAAGCAGCCATTTATAGGCGCTAAAACACTAACATACTGACAAGATCTTTCGCTGTCTATGGCCGGGTACCCATACCGTGGAGTCTGCTTAAATCGAACACGTTTAATCTGAAATCAGCTGGTAACTGAAAGAAAAGAAAATCCCTGATCTTTCTTCTTCCATTTGAGCAACTTCTCTACATAAATACCTGTATTACCTGTCCTGGGCAACAACGTCATTGCACACCGGACATGTCCATAAGTGCTCAGTTCCCCCCAGCACCAAAGCCCGCAAGGTATCCATACTGATTGTTCCGGTGGCTGTCTGATTATGACGACGTCTTTCCTTTCCAGATAATCGTTCCTTTCTTCCTTCTCCCCTCTCTATCCCCATTTCCCGCATCCTAATGATTGCGTGGTGTTCTGCTGTCTCCCTGTCTTCTTCATCCCGCAACTTTTTCTCCAGGGTCTTCAACACTTCTCCTTTGTCAAATTTCACCTCACCATCAACCACGGCACTGCCTGCCAGCCTATCAGCCTCCTCATTGCCTGTCACTCCAGAGTGCCCAAGACAAAACATCCACGTGATGGCTCGAAGTCTAAGTGATGAGTGTTGTTCTCTAAATAAATAAACCCAGCTAAAGCAAAGAAAATCCGGCAGTCCTGCATATCTCAGTTTAAGTAAACACCAATGTATATTTTTTTAAAAACAACTGTCTTCAAAATAGCTGAGCATGCAACACAAGTTAGTACTCCTATCAATTGTTTCTTTGGGGCTAAAAAAACAACCCTGATACTCTGATATCTTTTCTTTCCTCAAACTCAATTGTGGGATTGATGGCAGTAAACTTTTTAGCAAATATATATAGACCTACAACATATTTCCAACATGATTTTGAATACAGTCAAACCTGTGCTGACTGTCACCTGTCCAAAACATTCACCTGTACAAACGACCAGTGCCCATTTCCCCACCTTAATTTTCCTATTTTATGATCACACTGTCCAAGCCATCCACCTATGATCACACTGTCCAAGCCATCCACCTATCTAAGAAGACACCCACTTTTCACCTCGACAATTCCCCACCTCAGTGTCTTCTCGTCGTATCTACATACTGTTTAGTGAAAATGGGACTTCTTCTTAAGCTCACTCTTTGTTATGGACTGTTCTCACTGTTTAAAAAAGTGGAGAGACAAGACAGCACTGAGGTCGCGAAAGGGTGACTGTCTCGGACAGACTCGACTGCACCTACGTGTACCAGCAGGGAAGCCAGTGACGAAGAATTCTGCTCACCATGATCTCGCAGTAGTCACAGACTCGGTACTTGAAGCCCGCCTTGTTCTGCATGGGCATCATGTGACCACTTTCCTCCCCACTCTCCTCTCCTTCCTCTCCCTCCATGCCCCCCTCCTCCTCATCGTCATCATCGCTGTTCGCCATCGGCTTGATCATCTGACGACAGAATGGAGAGAGAGTGAGAGAGTGAGAGAGAAAGAGTGAGAGAGAGAGAGAGAGAGAGAGAGAGAGAGAGAGAGAGAGAGGGAGAGAAAGAGAAAGAGACCACATTGGTCAGTAAATACAGCGGGAGAAACGAAAGATAAATCAAGGAGAGTTGAGAGTCGAGAGCAAAACGCTGAAGAATGGGAGAAATTGATACAGCAAAAGGAAATAGAGAAAGGGAGGGGAGTAACCCAGAGACTGGGAGTCATGGAGAGAGAACCAAAGTGTTTCTAGAAAGAGTAATAAAAGTAACAGAGAAGTTGACAGGGCATGAGGGAAGGAAACATGGAGAACAAATAGGAGAAGGTCAACTTGTTTTTACACTGGCAACATTCTATTGATTATATATATATATATATATATACATCTATCAATGATGATGAAATGTTATCAATTTAACTAAGAAGAAATAGACTCCTCCCAAGTTGTGGCCGGTAAACCTTACAGTCAGTCTTCCCCATGTGTCTTGCTCAGTCTTCCCCATGTGTCTTGTTCAGTCTTCCCCATGTGTCTTGCTCAGTCTTCCCCATGTGTCTTGCTCAGTCTTCCCCATGTGTCTTGTTCAGTCTTCCCCATGTGTCTTGCTCAGTCTTCCCCATGTGTCTTGTTCAGTCTTCCCCATGTGTCTTGTTCAGTCTTCCCCATGTGTCTTGCTCAGTCTTCCCCATGTGACTTGCTCAGTCTTCCCCATGTGTCTTGCTCAGTCTTCCCCATGTGTCTTGTTCAGTCTTCCCCATGTGTCTTGCTCAGTCTTCCCCATGTGTCTTGTTCAGTCTTCCCCATGTGTCTTGCTCAGTCTTCCCCATGTGTCTTGTTCAGTCTTCCCCATGTGTCTTGTTCAGTCTTCCCCATGTGTCTTGCTCAGTCTTCCCCATGTGTCTTGTTCAGTCTTCCCCATGTGTCTTGTTCAGTCTTCCCCATGTGTCTTGCTCAAAATTAACTTGTATGGAAATAAACATATTACGCCCCATCAACACAATTTGATCATTTAGGAGACAGGCTGCATTGACGGTGCCAGTCGGAGTCAGGATCAACTTAGGGCTGGGTGAGAGACAGTATTCCCGCAGAGAGTCCTTGACAGTCTATTTTACCAGTAGTTGTGGTGAAGCTGGTAAGACGTTTTGCTGGGGCACACAAGGGACCTGATGAGTTCAATTCCCCTAAGGAAGAATGTTCATCAAGTATCTTCGTCTCTCCGCTGGGATGTTGTATCCCTCTCAGCTCTCCTTGGCCTTGACAGGCACAGTCTTGGTTTTTTTTTTTTTTGGCAAGTGTTCTACGACGCTCCCAACTGCATAAGGTGTTATGAGCGTGCGGGACACATTTAACATTTTCAGTTGGTAGGAAATTTTGAATTTTGCACGGATGGCGACCGAAGAATACTCTTATTGATTTTAGACCGCCAAGGGATTTTTAGATGTAGATCTTTACTACCAGAAGACCAGGGGTGTGGCTGAAAGACAGCAGTAAGAAAGAGTCAAGGAGTAGCCGGAGAAAGGCTGCAGAAAGAGTCAGAAGCTCAGAGGAGGGGGTAAAGGAGGTGAGGGGGTGGGGGTCAGAAAGTGGAGAAGAAAGCAGACGACAGAACATTGCTAGAGAGCAGGAAAGGAGGTGAAAGGAAACAATTTCAGAGAAGCAAAAATATCTGTTGCTACCCGGATTCAAACCCAGGACCTTTGAATGAGAGGCGAACACCTTTAACCTCGCGCCACAGAGCCCCCAGGAAGGGTCTGGAAGAAGACAACCTCCTAAACAATCTATCTGATGCATATGGGGCATGAAAACACCTCAATATTTTAAAAAATGAGTCAGTTTCACAAAGCTGAAACTTCAGAGGATAAAGCTTCAGTCAGTCAAAGTAACAAACAATGTACCGTTGTGTACCTCTCAACTCAAAATTTCATTTCTTGCACAGTCAGCAAACAGCTCATTATTAGTTTTGCTTTAGTAAGGCTTAACAGCGCTCGCCACTGCATAAGGTCATAAGGTCATATGAGTGCCAAGAGCAGAGTGTCAATAGAGAAGTCCAAACGCTCATTATTAGACAAGGAAGAAAAGGAAATAGCAACTATTGGGTAATAATTCTCAGTGAAGCATGGCACAGACCTTTGTTTTCCTCTCTTTCTTACTCCTGTTGATGAGGATGTAGCCAGGGTCGGTGAAGCAGGTGACGTAGTACATGGCCAGGGACCACAGCACCATCGCCACGTAGGCCACGCCCAAAACGACGTGTTGTCCATCAATGAGGGACTTGTGCAGCACTGGGCCACAGATATACACAGCGTAATAAAGATAACAATAATTCATAAAAATGACCACTGCTACTAATTGTACTACTAATTACTACTTATCAGAGTATTAATAAGATAAGATAAGATAAGATACATCTTTATTGTCCAGATCCTGGCATAATAATAATAATAATAATAATAATATATACCACGTAATCCCAAGAAGGACTTGTGCACCACTGGGCCACAGATATAGTAAAATAAAAACAACAATGATTAATAAAAATGACCACTGCTAAGTCTACTACTACAACTATTACTGTTCATAATATTAATAATAATAATAATAAAACGATGATAATAATAATAACAACAACATCAATAATAATAATCTATAGTGCAGCACCTAGTCCCTAGAAGGTGCTTAGCATTGTAAGGTGCAGAATCATCACTCAACTTTACTGATAAATTAGAGTACAGAAAATGCACATCACATAGTGAGACTGAGACCATTTAACAACACATACATACACACACACACACACACACACACACACACACACACACACACACACACACACACACACACACAAACACACACACACAAACACAAATATATTGAACCTCTAAAGGAAGAAACATTCACATCAGCACATTCCGCCGCACAACTCAAAATAACCAAAGGAATCGCCTTTAAAATGGCCAAGCCAAAATGATGTCTGAGAAAAGTAAGAAACTAAAATAAATTTAAATACTTCCAGTTATTTATTACAAAAATAAGCCGAAGTCAGGCTTAGAAATATGGCCAAAATCTACTCATTTATTGGGCCCCAGAAAATTAAATTTTACTTACTATTGATTGAAAAGCTAGAAGAAAATAAAACATGACTCACAAGATGACTCTCTGTAGACGAGTGATGCAGGAACTCCAACAACTATGAGAGTGTGAAACGTCCGCACAAACAGTGCCGCACTCAGCGAACAAGCACAGCACCGCCCCATGTTTCACTTTCACACAGTTAGTTGAGTTAGGACAATGGCAACATTCAACTCTCAGGACTGCTCTCCACAACTCATAAATGATAAGGATTTCATTTCTTGACTTGCAAGGGAGAGTCAGAACAACAGCAGATGTGTCACCAATGACAATCGCTGAATCCTGAAAGAAAACACAAATATATATATGAAACTCAAAATTTCAAGAAAATGAATATATATTATATATATATTTCAGTTTTATAACCTAGTATTTCTTGTAGGCTACTTGTGGGGCCACCAACGATTCCTAATAATTACCCATTGTTTTCTTGTAGTTAATGTTATCATGTTGAGGTCTTCAGCACTAAAAATCAATATTGTCAGGGTCAGGGAGTTAAATATATAATTATATTACACAGAAGGAAGCGGCTATTCTCACCCTGGGAGAGAATAAAAATACGTTTGACCTCTCACCCCCGGTGAGACTTGCCAGCTTTGGCTATTCTCACCCTGTGAGAAACAAGACTTGTTTTTCTAAATTTTTTAATAATAAATAATAACATTTATATAGCGCTCAACCCTGATTTAAGTACACAGACTCTGAGCGCTGTACAATACAGTACAATGTACAACAGTAACATAAAACGTGTTTTGACTGAAACAAAATTACTCCAAATATTTTCATCTTTTTAATTAATACTGTTGTGTATAGGTGTGGATGATCAAATTGACCCCCCCTCCCCCAAAAAATGATGTTTTCGCAGCACAAAAGTGTAAACTAATTTGATTGTCTACAAAGATGCAACGGCTATTAAATACTATTCGAATCGAGCCGAACTACGCAGGTCGCCATAGTGTTTTGCGTGGAAGTTCTCGCTAAGCTACTTCTCTCTCTCTAGACCTAGATTCTAGATCTATCTCTTTCTCTCCCCACTCTCTCACTGCCTACAGAACAAAATTGCATGCTTTCACTTTCAACATTCATTACAAGAACGCTCCAGAACGTTTGTTGGTAGTTGGTAGATATCTTTTTACAATTAATGTGTGAACGCACACCAGGTGAGAATAGCCAAAAAGACTGGCCCTCTCACCCATAGTGATCGGCCTGAGCCGATGCACTTCTACTTCTATGCGGTGAACGCACACCGGGTGAGAATAGCCAGATTATTTGCCTAATTCTTACCCTGGGTGAGACTGCTGAGAGGCCTACCGGGTAAACGGAGTACAACTGCGCTTCTCACCCCGGGTGAATGGAGGTGGCCGTATCACGGTTGTATGATTATGATAGGCATGAAATGGTGTGACGATGCACACTATCGTGCTGTAACTGTCAACTGTAACACTAGATCTAGATCTACCTGCCCCAGGGATTATTATTGCTTGGCAGTTGGATTATCGAACCAGAGTAGCCTGATGATGGATTGATAACAATGATAGGGATGCAGTAAGATTTAAAAGTATTCTGACTTTTTTTTAGAAACCAGACACGATTCATCAATCTTTAGGCTTGGCTGATTCCATGGAAAATGCTAGCAAAATTTACAAAAGCTAGGCTACTTACATACGAAACGATTAAAACCCAAAAATTGGCAAGAAGCCATTCTTGTTATTGGTACTGACGAGTGACGAAGTGACGATGTGATCGACGACAGCGACTGCTGAAATAAGGGGAAGTAACTGTCTCTCGCACCATCCAGGGAGACAATCCAAAAGACGTTATTTTTAAATAGGCCTAGCGCCTTTTTCTTGTTCTTGTTCTTGTTCTTGTTCTTGTTCTTATTTATCCTTCTTTTTCTTCTTCTTCTTCTTCTTCTTCTTCTTCTTCTTCTTCTTCTTCTTCTTCTTCTTCTTCTTCTTCTTTCTTTCTTACTTCCTTTCTGTCTGTTTTTCACTCCCTCTCGAATCTCTTTCTCTTTCTCTCTTTCTTTCTCTTTTTTTTCCCTATCTCCCCCTCATATACCTTTCAGCCCGGGTTGTCCCGGACAAGTAGAGTCGAAAGCCCGCCTCCTGAATAATCTTTAAAAAAACTTCTTCTTCTTCTCTCTCTCTCTCTCTCTCTCTCTCTCTCTCTCTCTCTCTCTCTCTCTCTCTCCCCACTCTCTCTCTCTCTCCCCTTCTCTCTTTGATTTTATCTATTTCTTTTATTGACACTTAGGCTAACAACAGTTTGCGAGCAGACGTGAGCAAATTTCAAGCTAAGCCAGCGGCAATAAATAAACCGCCATCTTTGCGCTTGACCCGCCTTGAGTCGCACCACCAGTCAGCTCGTTGTCTTTGTGGTAATGTTCAATGCTGCGCTCTGCTGTGCCCGCTCTGCCTGCAGTGTGGCTAGAGCATAATAAGGTCATATGAGCGCACGGTACACATCTAACATTTTCAATTGGTAGGACATTTTGAATTGTGCCAGGGTGGCGGCCAAAGCCTACACTTATCGATTTTGGACCACTAAGTGATCTTAAACGTGCGCTACTTACACACTCGACCTCAGAGATTTTTCGCCCTTGTCTTAGAAGGCTAGGTGTAGATCTTTCCTACCAGAAGATCAGGGGTGTGGCTGAAAGACAGCAGTAAGAAGGAGCCAAGGAGAAGCAGTAGAAAGGCTGCAGAAAGTTATAATAATTTAATGGGCAGTTAATGTAGCAGTTTGAGCGTAGTCCCGATAAAATCCCCCTCCCTCCATATTTCGATTTTTAATTAAGGGACTTGCATTCTTTTCAAAGTTCCGGAAATTTCGTGTCCTATTCCTAATTTTTAGAAAGATGAACAGGGTGGAGAAGTGTAATTCCCTTGAAAATCGATTTGGAGGGTAGGGGGGGGGGGAGGGATTTTGTTGTCCTAATGTTCTAAGGAAAGTGAGCTCAAAATAAAGCGTTTTCATAGAGTTATGAGCGTTTTACACACCGGCAAAACACACTGATGTGCACGGACAGTTTGTCATTTCAGAAGTAGATGTTGGGCTACCGGTACTCAGAACGGGGTCGATGGGACAGTTTGTCATTTCAGAAGTAGATGTTGGGCTACCGGTTCTCAGAACGGGGTCGATGGGAGGTAA